GCGGCCATTTATATTTTTAATCATTTTTATTTATCCAACCATATAAAAATTTAACAAATTCCCAGAGCATACCATAGCCAGAGAAAACCAAGTTCAACAGAATCGCGAGCTCTTCCTGACGAGAGATCACGCTCATTCTAATCTCTTAGAGGACCTGCCTGAGGTCCTAGTTCTATACCAAACCTTCTACCAATGTGCTTTCACAACATTCATTTTATTCCCTCGAGAGAGACTAGCACTACCGCTACAACACATGCTCTTCTATTTACAACAATGTCAGTACAGACCACACCAACTCACCCAAACTTCTACCAACTCCCTTTCTACGCTTCAATATGCCCTCACTACCTTAAAGGCTTTATTATAAAGTTCCCATAAGATATTGTGTCCGAGTACAGCCATTAACATGTAATTATAACTATTTCCAAATCTTAATATCTACATGTACACCTCATTTCTTTATTCCACTAAAGTCTTCATTAATAACTTCGTCATACATCTATGCCGTTATGACACAATATGCCTTCCGAAAACACCATCATTTGCAGATTGACCTCTCTAATATTCGACAGCATACAATAATCATTTTTTACCAATGCTCAGGGAAAGGTTTCTTTAGGTATTCCAATGTTGATATCCTCCAACCTATTATCTTGACATTGAGCTTCTCATGCATTCATCAAAAATATAAGCCTATTCAGTCATCTAGATCGAACTTCGCTACATAGATGCAACAAAGTGGGGCAACATTTCCCTAACCATACATGACTGAGCCCATTCGGACCTTCCATTACCTCATTAATACACCGGTTAACTGAATTGATCTCTCCTTTTCTCCTCTCCCTGCACACCTCTTTCCTTTATCTTCTTAAATTCTCAATTACCCTACAAGCTTCCAGTTGAGCATTACTATGTATCTTAGTAATGGTTTCAATAAATTGCCTTGTGTCCCGCCGACCCAGGAGCCCCCGCGCGAAAGACTCTTATCCCTCTCCAACTGCCTGATGGGGACCAGTGCCTCGGTCTTTGTTCTCACGCCAGATGACTCAGAGGAATTTCAAACCACAAGCTGCGCGACTCATGGATGGGGTATAGAGTGATAGCTACGAATGCAACGCCCCCTACAGTTCCCCCACCACAGCTTCTATGACAAAACCATTCCAGATTGGCAAGGTGAGGCGTGTGGCGCCGCCCGCAACCACACTAACTGGGGAAATCGGCCTTTACGGGCATCCCTATTCTATCCATCTATACTTTCACTGACGAACTTCACAGACCCCCGTCTCTGCTCAATAATATCACGGGCTGTGGCGACTTCTTGTTACTCATCCGTCTATCACCCTCACTATTATGGCTGTATCCCTCTTTCCATACAACCATTACATCAAATCCATACTACCATTTTTCTTATATCTAATATGAGCTGGCTTAGCTGCAAGGCCTTACCTTTGGGGACCAAGGTGGGAGCCGGCGGTGACACCGAGTAGGGGCCATTCGTTATTGAGGTTGTCCACTTCTGGGGTTCATAGCGTTCAATTATTAAGGGGCGCGTCAGTGAGAGAGGGGGGAGGATTCAGTTCGCTGGAGGTTGGCATTTATATGGGGGGGGAGTGAGGCGAAGGGTTGTAGGCAATAGATTTCCTATTATGTCATGTGTTTAGAATAACCGTCTCTCAGTCACATGGGCTACAAGAAACTCTCCTTCTCGCGACGGCATCACTGGTTTCCTGTGTCTATCTATTCCATCCTGCACCATCAAATTTAATATTTCCCTATTCTGTCGCATTCCTAAGCCTGCCCCACCATATTAGATTTTAGAATTTGGTTTATTTAACTTCCCTATTCTCCCTTTCTCTCTGATTATAGCTTAAATCCTTCGTTGCAATTGTTTGTAATTTCTCCAACTTCCCTCCGCCTCACTAGTAGCTCGGTATGATCAAATTAAGATTTAACAAAATCCTCTTTTCAATATTTTTCCGCGCTAGCCCGCTCTCTTCCTCTTTATAAAATTTTCCCTTCAACCTTCATCTTCCCTGCTCAGTCCTCGCCTCCTGAGCCCTGGCATATTGTCATCCGTCACTTTATATTTGTTAGTGTTCTCTTGTTTTCAGCCTTATCAATCCTATCCCTTCTTTACTTCTCTCGATTACATCTGATCTATCGTAGCTCTGATGTACATACCATGTGCCCTCATCCTTACATAGCGACAATGGACCCGAGAATCAGACAGAACCTCACGGCATCCTAAGGTACTAATTGTAAGGGCTATTTTTTGCCCCTGTTTAAGCTTATGCAGGAGCGTGGTATTTTCTCCTCCAACCTTTTTACGTCTCCTATCCATTTCCAGTTTACTTATTTTTCTTCTTTTATTTTTACTCTTGCTCTTCATAGACGCAGGGGTAGGTCTCGTGTCCGCTCAGTACTGCTCGGCAGGCATTCTAGTGAAGCTTCGTCAAGACAGCGCATGGCCTACCTGCGACAAGAAGGGCAGTCTTCTCCCGCGGGGTCCGGCCCAAACCGTTTTTCCCTCTATTATTCTAATTTTTCACATGGGATCTTTACACTTCATAGTTTTTTTACTTTAAAATTTTCTTTTATCCCTTCACTTCGGTACTCTCCATCACCATTATTTAAAATTTATTTTTCCCCATCTTATTTTTTCTTTTTCAATATAACTCTCTATAATATTTTTATACTATTATCCCACTTCTGCCTACTTTCAATGCTATTTTTCCAACCAGAACATTTAATTTCACACCACGTGTTATAAAAATTATACTTCATATACTGTCCCATTTTTTTTCTCTATAATTCTCTTAAATCTCTTCTTTTTCCATATACTTAAAATATTTTTCATCCTTTAATACGTATCTATTCATTTTATATTTATCCATTATCTTTAATCTCTTTATATACATTTTATTATTTACCTTCTTATCGCCGCTGCGTGCTCCTTTGCCAAGAGGGGTGGTCCTGGGCGCATCTAGGCCAGGGTGTCAGGCCAGGCCCAGACTGATGGGCCGGTGTTGCAGTGGTTTGCAGAGTACTTCACCGAGATCAGCTCTGCGAACGCTGGTGCTGGAGCATTGAGGGCCTGAACGACCGACATTTTTTTTTTTTAGGCCAATGTTTTTGTCTCTGGCTGTCTGCCTTTCATGTCTATAATTGTCTGTCATAGAGGCGTGGCATGTATTACATGATAAAGTTATTTTTGTGGCAATTATAGTCAAGATCTCTTGCTATTATTTAGTTTTTCCATGGTATTCTCTCTCCTGGCTCTCCTTTCTCTGCTTCTTATACTTAACCAGTTATTTGAAGGGAACGTTCCCTCTTTCCTTCTGTTTGGTTCTTTGACTCACTCTACCTATAATTATTTATGTTAGTGCTTGTCACTTTTGTAATTTCTCTGTGGTTCTTCACTGAGCTTTGTGACTTTTTTTTATTTTCCTTGTAGCTCAATATTCTTGCTCTCCTTGTGTTTTTGGATTTGGTTCTTTCTCTCCTCTTTTCTCATCTTTACACACCAGCGACATGTATGGGCGGGCTTATTAAGCTGGAGCCGCTAATTACCGTTACATCAAGCGACAAAGACAAAGAAGCAAAATCTACTGGATCCCTCCATTTCATGGGGGGCATTGCTGGGGCCATTCACCCTGATCCCTGGGGTATCA